AAAAGGACCATGAATTGAGTGGTCTGGGTTCCAGCAGGGGTTACTGTGTCAATTGTGTATGTCATAAAGCCTTTAGTCTTTTGTGTATGGACCTAACTCGACCTTGGACCAATATATTCCTAGCATGGCCCTTATGCTTGGTTATTTAGTCCAATATAATATAATACATGTATGTAAGAATGGTTACTTTTTATTTTCAGGATTTAGAGTACTTGAGTGAAGGCCTAGAAGGACGTTCCTTCAATCCTGTTGCACTGCTATTCGACCAGTTACTACGTCCCAATGCTGACCTCGGGAAAGACCAGGGCTCATGTCTCAAATGGCACCACAATGAAAACCGAGCAGTCAAACATCTGGTGCTGGGAAGTGGTCCTCCGGGCGGGTCTTGGCACCACATGCAGGGCTCGCAACTGACGCTAAGTCTTAACAACTGGCTCGAGTTACCGGGGTGTGATTTTCAAGATTGGCTAAGAGCTCATAGGTCTTCCACTGTAAGGAAGCCATGCAGCCTTGTTACCAATGGGGTGAAAAGCAATGGGTACAGCTACGATCGGGCAACAACAAGTCATATTGCTGAGTATTACAAGGATTTTGTCAATAATACTAACATTGCATCAAACTTTTGGAATGACGCCAAGGTGTTGTCTGTCAAGCACTTACATCAAAGTGACTGTACCAACTGCCGCTGCAGAGAGTCGAACATTCCTCGAGACGGCTGCTGGGAGATCCGTGGTGTCAGGGGTGCATTACCTGAAATGCCTGAGATGTTTGTTGTACACGCGTACAATGTTGTTCTGGCAACAGGAAACAGTATTCCGAAGGTCTTGGGCATACCTGGTGAAAATCTTCCATTTGTTTACCATAAGATGGATGTTATTGACAGGTATTTAGGAGAACTTAGTGAGCCTGCCCTTTCAATGGATCCTTGTCTTGTAGTCGGCGCCGGATTGTCAGCGGCTGATTGTGTCTTAGCTCTTCGGAACAAGGGTGTTCCTGTCATCCATGCCATTCGCAGAAATGGAAATGATCCTAAAATAATTTACAATCAGCTGCCGGGAGTGGTGTATCCAGAGTATTATAAAGTGGGTCAGATGATCAAGGGCGATGTAACAACGGCATATGGGAAGGATGCCTTGTACACAGCTTATACCAAAACTGCTCTTGTAGAGATCCGTAAAGACAAGGAGTGCATTCTGAAGAAGGCAGATGGAACTCTATTCAAACAGAAGGTCTCAAATGTTTTTGTGTTAATTGGTGCAATGCCAGATCTTTCTTTCTTACATGGCATCAGTGGACTTGGAGCTAATTCCGCAAAGAAAATTGACAGCAAAGAGAATCCAATCAACATAAATCCTTTCAGTTACGAGGCTGTGAACGAACCTGGGATGTTTGCAGTCGGACCTCTAATTGGTGACAACTTTGTTCGCTTTGGAATTGGTGGTGCTTTGGGTATCGCTAATCATCTTATGAGGGAAGATGAATAGCCCAAAGAACTGTCAACTGTTTACCAGTAAATACTTGTTGTATAAAAAAATACATATTGAATTAGTGGTGGTGTATCTAGTATTAAGACTATTAATGTAATATAATTTATGTAATGTGTTGTCTGGAGTGGCAGTTAGGTCTTAACTGAAAAGGGTTATATGCTCTCTAATTATTTTTTTCACCATATAAACAATAAGTGTATTCACTAACATATAAGTCATACCTAGAATTCTTTTTTTAGTGTCTCCAAATTATACCATTCGCTAATCCTCAATGTACTTCGGTCGTAAATTATACATTTGGAAGGGGCAGTCTGTCCTTAAAACTAGATATTCAAAATAGTCTAATTACTAGTTTGTTAGCCTTTATAATTATATACTCTGCATGAAATTGTAA